GACCCTGGGCCTGAACTCAGGCTTGTGAATTCCACTAGGTGGCAGGCTGCTTAACAGCCAGGCATTGCAGCGCCTAACTCCCCCTTGTGAATCCCACCCTCAGTGACTTGCCCACGTTCATCCTGTGATAGTGCAGGGATTGCCTGACTCCCAGATGAGTGCCCTACAACTGGACCATCCGTTCTTTGTCTTGTATTTGTTGTATGTAACGTCCAGACCCCTGTTAACGCTTCTCTTGCTTAAATAAACTAAATTACAGGTCCTTTTATATGCTGAATATTTCTGTTAAGGTGGTACCATTGTACGTCAGTTATTCGTGGTACTTAGGCTAGGCATATTTCCATTAAGTGTGGCAGACCTGGAAGCCTCAAAATCCCATCATGCTACTTGCAGGTAACACTTTGGATTCACTCCCTTTGAGAAATGAATTCCCTTAGCTCCCTTTAAGTTTGTTTCCTCTTGGTAAGGCATGTTTACACTCCAGTGTGCATTTACAAACAAAACCTAAGCTTTTAAACCTTTAAAAGCAGCCACAGGGATTTGTACCTTGCAGGAATGGATCCAAGATGATGAGTGGGATTTTGTGGGTCCCCCTGGACTTTGCAAAGTCTTAGTTTGTTTTGAGGGTCTGCCACACTTTGTGATCAATGGCAGATTAACACTTGTCTTTAGTTTTGCAGACACTGTTCAAATCTGGTTTAACTCACAAGCACAGCTAGCTTAGTGCTTTGCCTACTCCCCAGTAAACACTTGAAACTTTGGGTGCCTTGGTTTCTGTGTGGTTAACTTGAGATACTTAGGCCCTGATGTTCTGGGGTGCATGATCAGCACCTCTGAAAATCGCCCAAGGTTTCTTAAGTTGGGCACCCATAATTAGTGGGAAATGTAGAAAATCTGGGCCTATGTAATTTAGCACAATTTTCAGTCTGTGTTCACTGCCTGAAACTTTTGTGAGCAGCGTGTTGCAGGTCAGGATTAAGTGCATTTGCAGAGCTGACTATAGGAAGCTATTGTTCTATAGAAACTCCAGAATCTGTCTTTCAAACTGTAGGTATTACAGTTCAAAGTATTAATTAACAAGTGAACAGAACATTCCATATGGGGTGTATGTGAATGTTTCAATATAGGGTTACATTAACACATACAAAAACAATGTGGTTCAAGATACCTTGGTCAAATATGACGTAACTCTCCAACCTGAGTCTTTCCTAGGTATAATGGGGGTATCTAAAGCATTGCTATTTATACCTGTACAAACTGACTGTCTGAATAGATGAACTATTTTAGTTTCATGGTGCTGATTAATAATAATTATGATCATTTGTATTGTGGTATTGCAAAGAGTCTCCAGTCAGGATAACGCACATGTGTTTGCACAGGAGACAGCACATGATTCCCCCCCCCCAACCCCCATTACCGTCTGCACACTATAAAGCTGAAATTACAGTAATTCAGAACTGACTTTCTATTCTTGACACATACATTTAATTTGCAACCAGAAATCCCATAGACTCATAGACTTAGACTCATAGACTTAAAGGTCAGAAGGGACCATTATGGTCATCTAGTCTGACCTCCCGCATGATGCAGGCCAGAAAAGCTGACCCACCCACTTTCCCTTAACTCAGCTGTTGAAGTCTCCAGATCGTGATTTAAAGACTTCAAGTCGCTGAGAATCCTCCAGCTTGCGACCCCTGCCCAGTGCTGCGGAGGAAGGCGAAAAACCTCCAGGGCCTCTGCCAATCTACCCTGGAGGAAAATTCCTTCCCGACCCCAAATATGGCGATCAGTAGAACCCCGAGCATACAGGCAAGACTCTCTAGCCAGACCCACATTTTACCAGCGATGGCACTTTATTTCCTAATTGACTAAAATCACGTTATCCCATTAAACCATTCCCTCCATAAACTTATCTAGCCTAATCCAGGAAGCAGATTCTTTCGTTTCTTAAGCTTCTGAATGTTGGAAGTAATTGGAGGGAGGATGTGATTTCTAGACAGCAACTGTAGTGGGTTATTTCTAGTGAAGCATCATTTATTAAGAAGGATTAATTGCAGAAACAAATTGTCATTTTGTTGGCAGTAGTATAAAAGCAAAGGCAAATACTGTCTTCATAGAAGGATATAAAAGACAGGGGATAAAAATCTGAAACAGATGCAGTAAGATTATATTGATTTTCACCAAAATCTTAAATTATTTCCTTAAGGGACAAAAACATCTTGTCAACAAAGAAATCATATATTTTTCGCTAAATAAATAACCAGAGAATTTCCTACGGGGACACCTTTTGCACACTTTATTTTTAACTATTATTATTATTATTAATATTTTTTATTATTTATATTTCACCTTGTTAAATATATGCACAAAATTACCCTCAAAGTACAAAAGCATAGTTTGTGTAGAAGTATCAGGCTATATTATAAAGTCAAATAAGGTCATAGTCATCAAAGGAGAAAGAAATATTGAATGTATACTAATGTAGCAATGGTTTGTGAAATGATAAATTTTTATTTTATTTTCAATGAAGTGTCTTTACCCAAGGCTTTATCAAATGTTCACTTTTAAATACAATCCTGTCTTCATTTTTCATAGAGTTTAACTGGATAGTAACCAACCTATTCACAGAAGGTTATACATACAAGAGGTGAAGTGCTGGCCCCATTGAAGTCAATGGCAAAACTCCCATTGATTTATATTACCCAGAATACTAGAGTTGAACAAAAACAATTGCATAGTAGTTGTTCTTCCGGCATCAACAGTATGTTGAGTCAGACGAACACAATATCCTTTACTTGTATATTTGACAGTCAGGTAACAAATTCATTAACGTACTTCAGTATCCCCTCTATAGGGCAAACAGATTCTGAATATCTGAGAGAACATGGGTCATATTCTGATCGCAATTATACTGATCTTAAGGAGAAAAATGGAGGCAGCAATTATGTCAAATCAGATAATTTTAATAATGTTGCCAGCAGAAATAGGTGTATTTTTCTTCTGTATTGTTTTCGTTTAGGGCAGGGAGAAAGCACATAGTAAAACAATCTCTCAAGCTGTTGTTCCAGGTTTTAGAATTCCTATATTTATAATGTAGTGATGAAGCAGACGCCCAAGAAATATAGCAAAATAAATGAAGATAGGAATTAAAAACGGGGGAAAAAAATCATACTCCAAAATCTACTGCAAATCAGTATTGCTTGGTGGTACCATTTCTCTTCATATTTTCTTTTTGAATTTTGTTTGTTCTTTTTATTGGCAGGGGCAGGTCTAATTATCCTCATGTCCCCTGAAGCCATCTCTAATAATAAGCAATACCTGCTGGGCAGCTCCCCGCTGCTTAGAACAGCCTACAAAGCCCTCTTGACTCCGGCATATGTTTCTACTTTAAAACCTGAAAAACGTAACGGACTGTTTTTCCTCATTCTGTCTGGGACTGAACAGCAATGAGGTTTAGATAGAGACTGGCAGGCTAACCCTAGCAAACTGTAAGCTAGAGTATGCCAAACTTCAGTTTTGGTGAGACACAGAGACCCACTTCTCATCAGTTTCCTTATTCTGAGCAAAGTAACTGACATTGAGAGCTCTCTGCCTTAGGCAAGGCGAGTCAATATTTACACAATATTTACAGCCAGTCTGGTTCACTCCGTGGGTCAGATTCTACTATCATGTACAGGAGTTCCCAAGGTTATTTCCCCAACAGATTCCTCATCCAGCTAAGGTCACTTTTGATGGAGGAAATGGCTCTGAGTGCCAACCTCTGCCTTTGCTGTGCCAACTGAGCTTAATCACATTCTCCATGTGACACCTTGATGGTCAAGGAAAGAGATTACAAGCTGCTTTGATTAGTCAGAGGGGCCAGAAAAAGGTTTTAACAGGAAAAACAACTGAGAGGGGTTGCAAAAAGGTGTCAGATAAACTAAGCCTCTTCCCTCACTTTAACTTAAACCTTTTTATTGGTCAGTGGCAGTAAATTAAAGCAATTTAAGCCTGGTGTATATTAGAAACCTTTATCTGGTTTAACTAAATATTTTAAAATCAATGTACTTAGACTAGTGCAAACACCTAATGTAGAGACATACGAGTCCTTACTTAAAATGATTTAGCTTAATTTGGTAATTTACTGATGCGAACTAAACTTCTTAAAACCAGGTTTAAAATGGATTAAATGTATCTACATTGGGGGTTTGCATCAGTCTAATTGAATACATTTTAAAAAATTCATTGAGGTAAACTGGTGTAACTCTTCTAAGAGACTTCTTTGCCCTTGACTCCCTTACAATGTGTAATTTACGTACTTTATATATCGCCTTCAAATGTGGCTTAGTAGCTATATATGCTACATGGGAATTAATCTCTGCTTATAAAGGCAAAGGAGTAATGGAAACACTAAATTTACTTGCTTAAGAAAGTAAATAAGGAAGTGTTATTTCCTCCTTCTCATAGCACAAGAGCTAGGTTTCACCAAATGAAATTAATAGGCAGCAGGTTTAGAACAAACAAAAGGAAGTATTTCTTCACACAACGCACAGTCAACTTGTGGAACTCTTTGCCAGAGGATGCTGTGAAGGCCAAGACTATAACAGGGTTCAAAAAAGAACTAGATACATTCATGGAGGATAGGTCCATCAACGGCTATTAGCCAGGATGGGCAGGGATGGTGTCCCTAGCCTCTGTTTGCCAGAAGCTGGGAACAGGCGACAGGGGATGGATCACTTGATTATCTGTTCTGTTCATTCCCTCTGGGGCACCTGGCACTGGCCACTGTCGGTAGACAGGATACTGGGCTAGATGGACCTTTGGTCTGACCCAGTATGGCCGTTCTTATGTACTTTGAGCACATAGCCATTGCCATCCCAATAACAAGTTTAACCAAAAATTTTTAGACCAGTGGAGCCCATTGCTATAAAATCTCAGTGTGGACACTTTTGTTTCTCTTAGTTTCAACCTCTAAGCATTTTATCCCTTTTTTTTGGGGGGGGGGAGAGGCATTAAAATACCTGGTCTGGGGTTTTTTGAGAAAAAATCGCAGTTGAACCTCCCTCCTCTTCATTAGGGTAGTCAGGAAACTTGCCTGTAATATGCCTGCATGCAAAACAAAAGAAGAATCAATTAAAATACAACACCTGCCAATCCTATTATTAACCTGATAACACCAATGTGTTATGGAGGATCATCCCATCCCATCACACTCAAGATTGAAGGAATAACATCACCTTCTAAGGCAGATATTCACTCAGCAAATTCATTGTCTTTCTGTTATGTTTGTACAGTACCTTGTCTATGATTGTGTAGGAATGTGTTGGTCCCAAATCACAGCCCACGAGAATGGCAAACTGTTCCCTTGGCAACGAGGCAGGAGTAACCTTGTCCTAGCGTCTGTATTTGGGAAACTTATTGGCAACCTAACATCACCCTTGCAGCTGGTGTTCACGCGCTCAAGAGATGGGTTTGTAATCTCATGTGCATGTATACTGCCTGCCTTCTGTTTGCGCAAGAATGTAACCACTAAAAACTGTTGTAAACAAAGTAAGGAGAAAAATAAAAACCCCAGGAAAAGTTTTCCTGGGAGGCTTTTTGCTTAAAACTTATAAAACTCTCTAACTACCACAAACCTAGTGTTCTATTTCCTTTCCTGTGTCGTCACCACATGATTGGAGTCATTAATTACTACTGCAATAAACATAAGAAATAAAAATACATCCATTATAATTGCAGGCACTTTGCTTGCACACTGAACAATTTCTATTTGCACATGTATAAATAGCATCAGATGGAAAAACTGGTTCCCTGCATTTGCAATAAATCAACATACATGTGAAAAAGGATTTTCTCACTTATACTACAAACAGTTTTTAGAGGCCGGTTGAAAAATGGTCCTTAGAACCAAAAGAGAAGCATAGATCGTCTGTTCTGTTTAATGTTAGGCCACATTTGATTTTACAAACATGTTTTATCTCTAAGATAAGTAAGGATTCATTCAAATTTTTGACTCAGTGAAATAGTTTAATATTATATTAGATGCAGCTCCTATGTTTAAATAATGCTAAGAGTTTGACTTAAAGCTGAAAAAAGCCAGGGCATTAGACATTAAGGTGGTTACTGCTTTCTTATTAATGTTAGTTGAAGGGGAAAAAATGACAATGTGAACTAAAGTGAAGAATCAGTTTGAACTCAACCCCTCTAAGTAATTTACTATAAACATGTATTACAAAAATGTTTTATTTTGCTATTTTTGTTTACTTTTTATTTAAAAATAATTCATAGATACAAATGAATGTTACTTTCCTGAGAGACAAAACTTCTGTTTCTTGAGCAATAGACTAGGCAGGTTTTCAAAAGAGTTAACTGTGAGAGGCATTTTTTTTGTTAAAAGTTGGTAAAAAGTCTTTTTAAGATAATTAGGGTGTGCTGAATCCAAATATGGTTGTTACCAATCTTTATGTTGTGTATAAAGGCCTCACAAACAAAGTAACATGGAAATTGCTGGAGTGTGAATCTTTATTTCCTTTTTGTCTAGGAGTAACATAACGGGGGGAGGGATAGCTCAGTGGTTTGAGCATTGGCCTGCTAAACCCAGGTTTGTGAGTTTAATCCTTGAGGGGGCCATTTAGGGATCTGGGGCAAAAATCTGTCTGGGGATTGGTCCTGCTTTGAGCAGCAGAGGGGGTTGGACTAGATGACCTCCTGAGGTCCTTTCCAACCCTGATATTCTATAAATCTAAAATCTATACTTCAGTTGGCTCTTAATAAGCAATAGGATGTATTGAAAATGATCAAATAATATGCACAACCTTTTTATAAAGCCATTGGATTTCAGTTTCTTATTTGCAAGATGTACTAGAAATATTTTAATACATTATACAACCATGAAAGAGCAACACATAATCTGAAAACACCCATTTTTGAAACAAGTGAAAATATTTCTTGACTAAACCTTAAGTAAACATTTTAATGCACACAAGTTAAGCACACACCTTAATGTACTAGTTCAAGAAACTTTGGTACACAGTGGCAGATTGAATCAGTCTTATTAGGTCACATATTATGGTACAGCTATTTATTTGATAGTACTGTCCTGGTGAACTGTCATGTACATTGACACAACCTGGTTCCAGTTCTCTGCATTTGCATGCTCCTGTACAAACAAGTTGTGCTGTCCTGCACCTGCATCACTGACTTCTGCACCCTCTTGTGCAGCCACAGAATATTGCCTCCATGCAATCTGCTGGCATTGGTGGCTGTTACATGAACTGTCTTCCGGTTTCCAACCCATTGTCTTTGGAGGAGGAAATACAGGATTTTTGGGCAGTGGGACTGTCTCCAAGCTAGTGACTGGTAGTGAGCTCTCTGCACGTGAACAAAAAGATCCTCACTTGTTGGGGGTAAAGCTTCTGATGACTACATGTGTGTGAACAAAATAACGTGCTTTGGCAGTGCTGTGGACCTCTGGCATGCCATACATTTTATAAATAAATTCTTCTGCATTTTTGAAATGATGCAGAGCACAATTAGTACAGAGACATGAATAGTGAGCGATCCAAGTTGGTTTGCCTGATATTGTGTAAAAATGTGTGTAACTTTGATATAGAAGGCCTTGCCAAACTAATTATCGAAGCATATGCAACCATCATCGTAGACAGTGACTTGTTTATACTGCTCTATATACTATACCAGTGTTTCTCAATCTGGGAGTCGTGATTTATTTGATAATTTATATGGTAAAAATGAGAAAATAAGCAATTTTTCAGTAATACTGTGCTGTGATACTTGTATTTTTATGTCTGATTTTGTAAGCAAGTAGTTTTTAAGAGAGGGGCACTCAAGACAAATCAGCCTCCTGAAGGAGGTACAGTAGTCTGGAAACATTGACAACCACTGCTCTAATTGACCTGGATCAAGAATGTCTTTGTTTTACTTTCTATTTCTATAGTAAGGCTATTGGGATCTCAGCATTAAAATACAGTCTCAGAAGGATTTTTTGAATCATGTTTTTAAGAAATTTCATAAATGGACCACTGCACTTCCCCCAAATTCATGAGTCTGATGTTTCATTTTTTAAGACCAAAGGTCCCTGCATCTTCCAAGTATTAGAGTGAGTTGTTTTCCAGAAACCCAAAGGTGGAAGTTCATTAGCAATCGATTTGTGTGTAATACATTTTATAGTAACAAATAAAAAGGAAGTCACAACTGGTCTAGTCAAATTTGCTTCCTGCCCTCTAGTCAGGGACATATCTCCCTGCTGTCAACAGTTCTCTCCGGAAACAGCAAAAGAAAGATCCCAGATCAATCTATGAAACTGAAAAGGGTATTCCCAGAAACACTGAGAAAATGAATGCCAAGGGCTTTTGTTACACTTTACCAGGGAGAGCAAGAGTGAATGCACCAAACCGAAAACTCACTGCTGCGGAAATAAACACTCAGGGCTAGACTCTGCTTGGGGACAGCAGAATCTGGTACCATTTGCTGCTCTGAGGTGTACGGTGCCTCACAGAGCTGGGGAAAGGAGGCAAGACCGTGGCTGGCAGTGCAGGAGAGAGTAAGGTGCAACGCTGGCTTCCCCTCTGTGCTGCTATGGTGCCGAGCACCCCCCTCGCCGGGCCCTCCAGGCGGGGGTGAGGTGACACCCCCACGTGCTCCAGGCCGGGCCAAGCCACGGTGGGGTCCCTGTCCCTTTAAGAGCGGGGCTGGGCTGAGCCGAGCCGGCGGGGGGGTGGCTCCACTCCCGGCTGCAGGCTGATGCCGGAGCCTGGGCTGAGAGCCAGGCTCGTCTCCTGCACCAGCTCCGGGCGAGGCTTTGCTGCGGCTCCCCCAGTCCCCCCGGGCCGGGCCGCCGCACGGTAGGGGCGGGTTGCATGAGGCAGGGCAGGACCCGGTGGGGCCGAGGGCTGAACAGGCCCGGCAGAGGGCTGCTGGAGGGGGGAAGCTGGGGAAGGGGTGGCACGGCCTCAACCCCCTGGGGCTGCCTGCCCTGCGGAGGAGGCAGAGGGGCGCAAGCCGCAGCAGGACCCCAGCCCCCCAGGGGAGGGGATCTGGGGCCAGCCCAAGGAGGCAGGAGCAGCCCCGGGGGTGCTGGACGCGTGCAGGGCAGAGCCCCGGGAGAGCCCCAGCCCCGCGGCGGGCAGTGCTGCAGAGGAGGAGCCCGCGCCCCGCGGCGGGCGAGGGGAGCCCCAGGCAGGGGGAGCTGGGCCGCCTGCACCCACCTCTCGCGGCCGCTCCATGCTGCTCCCAGTACCGCTTTCCGCCGGCGCGGCTGCCCTGTCAGCCGTTTTTGGATCTTTAAATAGCCGTCCGGGGGAAATCCCGGACATTTTTAGCTTTTTACAAATTCCCCCCCGGATGGCTATTTAAAGACCCAAAAGCCGGACATGTCCGGGGAAACCCGGACGTATGGTAACCCTAGTTGTACCACCCTTAACAGATTCCTTGTAGGACCTCTCAAACACAATGTCTATTCTGTGGCAGTCTGCTCCAGTCCTAAGTACTGTTTTTACAAATGTCCCTGCAAGGTCTCCAAATGTTTTGGCTACTGATGGCTTTCCTATAGCTTGTCCCAAAGCTTGTGCGTCTGTCACAAGACAGCTTCTCCCCAAAGGGGTAACTGTTGGTGGGCAGCTGTCTGTACATTACCCAGTACTGCTTTTGTGCTTGTTCTTAGACTGCTGTTTGTGTGTGCTAATGCCAAAGGGACAAGCATTAACTCATCTTTCAAAATATGTTGCAAATTCACAGTCCTGCCAGCTTCATAGGCTGTGATAAATTGCTGAAGAATATTTCTGTCTGCCTTCATGCTTGAGGCTTTTCCTTTGACTTCTTTCCCTACCTCATGTATCACGGAAAAAGTTGGGGCATTATTTTTTGGTAGTGGATCATAATGTGTACACGTTCAGGTTCTCCCTCTTGTGCCATAAGCCATTTCTTCACAAAGCTTTCCAGTTGCACTAGGATCTATGCCTTCAACAGTGTGTCTTGTATCGCTTCAGCAGCCAGATCTTTTGCAATATTTTGCAACAAAAAATATGGTTCCTACCTGGAGAAAATCTTGAACCTCTGAAGTGTTCATAAGAGTGCACTCTCATCTTCTT